TAGTGCATGGCTTTGCATAAGCTCGTTTCCCAAAGATATGTATCTCTGGATGCTGTCACTTCCCAGTGTTCTCACCCTCTGTAACGGAGGTGAATCTTTCCATTTCCATTGTCTGCGCTTCCATTTTAAAATCTTACTGTACAAAGCTGTCAAATGTTACAGATCAAAAATTGTTTGGAGTTAATTTGAAAAGTACCTTCTTTACCAGAATTACTTGGCTGTTCCTGATCTCTCCCTTGCTGCTCAGCTTCTCGTGTGTACAGTTGGCTAACTGAATAAGGAAGAATGTTGGGTGGCCTCTGTCAGGGAACTCAGAGATGGATATTGTACCTAGTGTTGGTCAACTGGTGCTAAGAACCTTCCTTTGATGGTGGCTTGAAATACCAAGAAAGGTTGTTGAACTTTTATGAATGGACCTGTGAAGTTATTCTGGGCTGGACAAAATATTCTCCAGTGATTCGTTAACACCTGTAATGATCATGCCGAGACAGCTTCCTATAGCACTACTGTAAAGTATGTTGATCCTGAATTTGTTAGGTCCTATCCTATAGACATCTTACCATAGGTAGCAGACAAGAAGCCTGCTCCAAATAAGTGCTCTGTATATTATCTCAAAAGCCTTACTAAGTTCTAGAGGGGTAATCCCTAAATTAGAAGGGTTAATCTGGGGCCTTAATATCATAACGACCAGTTCTGCACTACGACTAGAAGCCAAAACTTCAGTGCTTTGACAAAAAGCATACAGTATCAACATGCTGTCCCACTTGGACACAAATGAAAGATGTACAACACTCTTGCAGTCTCTGGAGCTGAGAAAAGGTGAAAAAACTTATCCAAGTAGACATTTAAACTACCATACAAATGCATGATAACTACATAGTGTGCATTTTTTGGCTCTTTTTTTATATATATATATATATATATATATATATATATATGTACCTGTAAAGGTAGAGTAAGAAAGCTAGAGTAAGAAAGCTATTTAGTTAAAATGCCTATAAAGAACTTCAAACATTTTATACAAATTCTAAAATTTAGATTTTTTTCTTGTATAATAGGGACATAGTTTTCTTAAGCATGAGAATTTTAACTTACCTGTGAGCCCCAGGAGGTGGTGCTGCAGGGTGGCCCATCACTACTCCCGAGGTTAACATCTACCGGGTATTTGTGCAAAATTCTGTTTGTCCACTAAATTCATTAAGATTATCATTTAAAAATATGGAAAAAATTCTCTAAAATGTCTGTCACAGATGCAAAGTCAACAACATCCTTCATTAAGATAAGCATTACTTACACAATATTATAACAGGTGCCATATATGCCGTATCAATGGGTTTAAAACTTGTATTGCTAGACCCAAGGACAAATGACATATGCACATCAACACTGCCTTGGTCAACATTTTATTACTTATGATGCAAGCTCCAAATTTTGCAGAGTTTCGTAAGTGGACACTTAAATGCTTGATAAATCCCGACCCATAACTAGTAGATATACATATATATAATCAAGTTATTATGCAGGACTCTGGAGGAGTATATGAACAAAGATTTAGAGGCAAATCTGCCAGTCACCCTGCTAGACAGTGTGATACAGCTTACTGGATACACATACAAAGATTTTTTACAGTGACTGAAGCAAAGTTCCATTGATATGACAGTAAAATGCATGAAATTAAATCAAACTTAGGCAAAGATTCCTTCATACAGCTAAAACAAGTCTCAGATGATATGCTTATACAGTATCACAAACATACGAAAATATTTTGTCCTGGCTCTAAATTCAACTACTGTATCCTAATTGTGGAATTAGCTCAGACAATTGCATCATTTATTACACATGAAATGTCCACCAAATACCAAGATGTACTGATCATTTGATATTCTACCATTATATTTACTCACATTATTACATGCTTTCAGATAAATGATGCCAGGCCTTGCATAAACAACTTAAAGGAACAGTGCCAAAATGTGGTAGAGGTATATCTCAAAATAACACGAACATTATCCGTACCAAACATATTTCTTCAATCACGAATGTGTACCGTAGCGTCAAACATGTCAAAAAGTAAAAAAAAATCAATACAGTAGATGCAGCTTTACTTTGTTTATCAAATTGAATATATAACTTGTGAAACTTCAATTCCTATTCACTAATGCAGGATATATATTTTTATACCATTTACAGTGCATTGTTAATATATAATATTATTATAATAATAATAATATTTTAGATTTTAGAAACTTTTGCTACCTTAAATGGCAACATCATATACACTTTACTGCTATAATTTACCTGATATATTATGCCTAGTTTAAAAAGCAAACACATATAAGTGGGAAGAAAATATGCTACCAAGTAGCTACAATGTCCTCACCAGACAATACAAACAGAACATTTCTAGAGCAGGACAGTGGGATTAAACCAGCATTCTAGGTCACCCCAAGTGCACCCCATACCCACAGACTATGATTTGCTATAGGTTACACAATCTGGAAGAATCTAGCTGGTAGCCAATCCTAGTTTTACATGTAACCTGTATATTCTCTGGTGTAATGGAGTTCACTACCAAACTTTCCCATTAAATACACTGTGAAATCATAATAATGCAATGTATCCATGAGAAAATCTTTGACACACGATAGCAGAATCGAACTACCGTCCTGATCACTCCAGTTGCACACCATACCCATGGAGAATGCCATTACTTACCAGAGTGTATGTAGGTTACATGTAAAACTTGGATTGGTTACCAGCTCAGTGCCTCTAGATTCCTAGTCCGGGCAGATTGTGTAACTTTTAGCATATCATGGGCTATGGGTACAAATGCATCTGGGCATGACTCAGGATGCTGGTTTGGCCATACCATCCTGCTTCAAAGATTTTCTTATAGCTATATCACGTTATTGTGGTGTCATTGTGTACAACACTTATTTACATTTTTACCAATTATTATCCTCTGCTCAACACAAATTATGTTGAACAGTTCAGTTCAATTATGTTGTTGATTAATTAAATGATAAAGTGGAATGTAATAAATGTTATAAGAATAGTAGTAAATGAAAATTAATGAATACGATCTCAGTAGTATTACAGTCAGGTTCGTTCTTGACTCGCAATCGGAAATCTTGGGTTCAAATCCCGGGTGGGACAGAAATTGTTAGGTACGTTTCCTATCGCCTAATGCCTCCATTCACCTAGCAGTATATAGGTACCTGGGAGTTAGTCAACAACTGTGAGGTTGCATCCTGGGGAAGGTCAGTAGTTTGACCTTGAGGGGGGGGGGGGACTTGTATATAAACCTAGCATATATACATACACACAGTGGGATTCCTGAGCCCAGTAGGCTTAGGAATCTGTACATCAGTTGATTGACGGTTGAGAGGTGGGATCAAAGAGCCAGAGCTCAACCCCCGCAACCACAACTAGGTGAGTACACAGGCTGCCTGTCCTCGACAAAATGAATTATAAGGAAAGAGGGTATGTTTCTTAATTTATAAAGTAGTTTGTGGCAATGAATAACCTCTCTTATTGTAGCTCAAAGTGTTTATTAAAGTTGAAAGAGTAAAGTGGTGAGTGTTAATGCAAAGCCTATGCATTATGTGATGACAAGAGTAGAAAATATTTTTTGTTGGAACAGAGAACGAGATTCATGTGATACCTAGTAAATGTAATGGGTGATTTGAAGATAAAGTAAGGAAAGGACCCTAATAAAGACAATGTCTTTAATAGTGTCTAAGGAATAAATGACAATGGATGTAGTTTGAAATATTTATGCAATAAAAGATATGTAGACTATTTGAAAACTTCATTGATCTGTTAAAAGGTAAGGCAATTATGAGGAGAGAGCACTTAGCCAGTATGACTATGGTATAGGCAGGATCCTCTAAAAGAGAATGTGAAGATGAGAAATTGTGGAGGTGGAGAGAGAAGGATATTGTGTAAAAAAAAGTGAATGGTCGGATGTGGACGATTAGTTTAAATGCCCAAGAAGTGTGATTGATAACACAAACTGTACAACTGAAGTTGAGAGTAGAATCAGTCAGGGCAGGAAAAAGAGGCTAGTACAATGAAAGCATTTTCTTAAGTAAAGCCAGACAAGAATAAATGCAGCCAGAGGTCTACAACTATGTATAGATAGGAGATGATGGTGTGGAATGAACATGAAAAATTAACACTATCGCCGGCGCCATGCGCGCTCAGCAAACTTTGACATCATGGGGCCAGTGGTGCGGGCGAGCGTGCGGCGACGCCTAAATGTGTAGACTCGTTTTAGTTTTCTCACCTTAATTCTTGTGCTACGTCGTTCGTTTTGGTATCATTGTGTTCGCAATTAAATTCCCTGCAGATATATATGCATATAATGTCCAATAGCCTGGCGAGACTCCCCACAGCAAAGTCTAAAGTCGGAAAAGTTACCCGTGAGTGCACAAAATCAGTAAAATGTGTATACTGGTTTCAGTTTTCTCACCTTAATTCTCGTGCTACGTCGTTCGTTTTGGTATCATTGTGTTCGCAATTAAATTCCCTACAGATGTATATGCATATAATGTCCAAAAGCCTGGTGAGACTCCCTGCAGCAAAGCCTAAAGTTACCCGTGAACGAGTACCAATTTGCACACCACAGCCTAATGTGTATACTCGTTCAATTTGATAACATCAATTTTCATGCTACATCGCTCATTTTGGTATCAAATTGTTCGCAAAATAAAGGCACGCATTTTAAAATTAGTCCCATAATAATAGAGCAATAACTGGAATTTTAACAAATATTTTAATTTTGGATGCTCATCATCAAAATTATTTATATATTTCTAGTGATCTGACATAAAATTTCATGTTACATCGCTCGTTTTGGTATAAAATTGTTCACAATATAAAGGCATGCATTTTAAAACTAGTCCCATAATAATAGCACAATAAATAGAATTTTAACAAATATTTTAAAATTTAAAATTTAGACCCAAAAACGTATTTACAATCTTTCAAGTGTTCTGACATCAAGTTGCGTGTTACATCTTTCATTTTGGTATCAAATTGTGCGCATTCTAAAGGCGCTTATTTTCATACTATCTCGAGGTCAATTGGATAAAAAATGAATTTTATACAAATATTTTTGTAGTGGTCCGGTCCAAAGCTAGGATTCATGAGAAAAATAATGGACGCGAGTCCTGTCCAAAGAGACCAATAGTGTTAAGAGCAATAGAAGTAGAAATGAGCAATCTGAAAGCATGAGGAATGTAGAAGTTGTCAACCTGCAAATGTGAAGAGTACATTCCAAGATGATTTGGGCTTGTTGAATGGTAGATTGAAGTAAATATAAGAGTAGTAAGAGAAAGGGAAGATTGGAGTGTGTAGTGCTTGCTTATTTGTGATGCTATCTATTGTGTTGTGAATTACATAAGGAACACAGGAGTGATTGTTAATATTTTATCTAAAACTATTTTATCTTTTACTATTTTACTAATTTTTTTCTAGTTTCCACATTTTCATGAAGAATGATAATGCATGTACTCTTGCTAAATATTGGATTGTAATTTGTATGTGGGAATGACTAAATGTATATCTAAGTTACTTCTAACATAAGAGTAAGAACTTGTTTAACAATTACAGAAATAAGGCAATGACTGGCAAGATATCTTTGGCAAGATGTTACTGATGAAAAAGGTGACAAATTATGAACATTAAACTTGCATAATAATGATTGACAGATGATAATGATAATACAATGTAATATTTAACAAAATAATAGGTATTGGGAGAGCATTTTCAATTGACAGTCTAACATATCAAGCAGTGACTAAATTCTCAACAGTGAAGACGATGATGAAGTAGCATGAGTGCCAGTCCAAGGATAAGAATGCATGGAGTATCACGACTGGATAATCGTCCACGACGGACCAAAACACTCTCAATTCTTATACTTTCAGTTTTGTGGGTCGGGTGTCTAATCTTCAGCCACGTTAATGTGACTTACTGTCTGCATACCCTCTGTGCATGCCACACACACTGCTGGATGAAAAGTCATTAATCTAGAGATAAACACACAGCATTACTAAAAAAAATTATAAAGGTTAGAGCAGAAATGTCACATATTGATTGGGGTTTACCGTGCTAGTGCTACCTGTTTATGCAGAACAGAAGATGAATACAGTATGCATAATGAGTGCACTGCAGAGTGCACATAGGCTGCATGTCAGAAGATGGTGTGCCTACACATAGGTATGGTATGTAATGGTGATGGTGGAGAGAATATCTTCTACGTGAAACATTCATACTATATATATGAAACATTCATACTATATACATATCCTTAAATCTTTAGTCTGATAACTGGCCTAAAAAATATTGTTACATTAAGCTATACTTTGATTGTACTCTTTCACAGTTAATGAAAAATATAAATGGTTCTTCTATAACTGTGATAAAAGTTATTTAACACCAATCTGGTAAATAGGTTAATGCAGCTCAGGAACTAAAACATAAGAAAGTTTCTATCACACAGTTTAAAATGCGAAGATTCTATTGTGGTACATTAAGCATTTGTGCGTAAATTGGTAACAGATGTGACTAGAGATGATAACCTACAGAGTTTCAACACCTACAGGTGGTAACATATGTCAGTCAAAATACTGGCAGAAAAAACAACAAATTTAGGAGCAATTACAGTGCAGTATTACCAAAGACAGCACAGCGCGACACTGTTTAATGTAGATAGTAGGCTTAGTCTGAGAGGGTTGCATCATTGGCCAAGCCAGGCAGAGAAGCATCCTCAACCAGCAGGGAGTCTTCTCCTAAGATACTGCACAGTTCCTGCAAGATCAAACATACTTTCTTGTATCATTTCCACATACAACAACCACTACCTATTATTCTTCAGGAACACTTTCTTTTCATGCATGTCTTCTTTGTTTAATCTCTTAATCTTGCTGAATATAATAAATATCCTCACCTTTAGTCTCTCTAGCTTGTTAGGTATATCAGACAAAATTGACTCCAAGTGCTGTTTCTCCTCTTTTAGCCCAAGACGTTTCTCAGAGTCAAGTCGTTCAAATTTCCAGCCACCCTCCCCATCAAACTGCAGAACATGTGTGTGGAACTTCCTGCAGGTAGAAACCAATATTGGATAACTAAGTGTATACCATATCCTTTAATATATGATATGTAATTTTATATGACAAGAAAATGGAAATCATACAGAGCATACCTAGACACCATGTAGTATATAGCAAATACCTGTATAGCAATACATTCTTTCAAAACTGTCTCGGTGAGAGCCACTAGTAACATGTTAAGAGGTTTATATAGTTATCAGGTTTGTTACAGGTTTGGGCTATACACTTACAAAAGTATGCATTTTCACTTGAAAATTATGTTATTAGTAGCAATAATTTTCTTGACAATTATTCCCTGCTAAATTTAAAAGAAGTACATGGGGCAGTTACACTAGCAATTGGTGTTGATCAGCAGCCCCCTCCCTGCAGCTGGCTCCTCACTCCCAGCCAGCTACAGAGGAGCAATATTTCCCATACTAAACCGTATTTTACTGCATTGCCGGTAATTCTCATGTTCTCTATACTGTATATAATCTCGAATTTCTTCTTAATCTATGCAAATGATTGCTTGTATGGCTTCAATGTGTTCAGTGTGGATATCCACCATGTGTCGTGTTTCAGTGCCACTGCCTAACTTATTTACATACATGATACAATGATTGATTTAAGTAACAAATGTAGGAAAGCAATAGAGTATTTGTACTTACCTTAGCTAGGATGAGATGTTGATATGTCACACATGAATGCACAATAATGATTCTTCCTCCTATATTTTAGAGTCCCACCATCAGCTAGGCCTAAAATCCATCTATTTATATCTGTATAGCTTACTAATAGATGCAATAAATGTACTATATGTGAAAAACAACAAAGATTAGATGCATCAGAATATTGGGTGCAACAGTAGGGTTCTAGAGCCAATCATTCTGTTCAACTGAAGTTACACCACACACAACATTTTCAAATACATCAGAGAACTCTTTAGGGAAATATAATAGTTACTTCAGTGTTCCAGTCTAGTTTATTAACATTTAATCTAAAGATCTCTAAATTCTTGGAAGAAGTAAAGCAGAACCTCAATTAAATGAACCTGGATTCGGTGAATCTCCAGTTGTAACACACACACTTTTCATGCTGGATTTACTCACCTGATTCGTTGAACAAAAGTTCCTTGAAGAGGAGAATGTCTGGATTTCCTCAGGATCTTGTGACAAAGTTCACAGATGGAGGAAACATTACAAGCTATAGTTGGGGCCTTGGGAAAGCCACTGAGCATATTTAAAGTCAAATTCTCTGCTTATTCTTTACTTCCAGCTGCAGAGATTTTTGTTCCATAAAATATAGGCCCCTTTTCCTTTGAAAATGATATTTCAAGGCTTGGGCATGGGAAATATGCTAGTTATGGTTGAATATGGCAAAATTTGAAAATCTTACCACAGAGTGGGACGATGTGTGATGGTGAGGAGAGTGATGCCTTGGTCCTTGACTGCCTGGTACATCTGACCCTCAACATCAATGCTGACAGCGCTGGTGCACTCGTCTAGCAGGGCGTACCGTGGCCTGAGATTTTAGAATAACTGATTTATTAACTGTAGCGTTCTTTCTTTGAGGAAAAGAGATTCATGTAAAGTATTCTGTGAAACATGTTAGAGCCATTTTTTTATCTTCTACAGGGCCATTTATCAATGTTAATGACATGATAAGGTACTCTAAAACTATGACAATGATTTCATAAGTGATTTTGGTTCTCTGGACACTATATAAATGGGAGTGTTCAATAGGTTCTAACTGTGACCAACAATAATTTCAACAAATGGTGAATGGAGAATACTCAAAGCATTTTCTGAAGTCTTCCTTACTCTTAGAATTATATGGTGCCATGTGTTATATATCAACACCTGCAATAGAGGAGACTGTTTAGTCTAAATGTTGTTGCTCTTTTCAAAACAGTTTTTTGTCAAGTGGAAAGTACATGCTCAATACTCATGTGTTCTCTTCCTAGAAATCTGATATTAAGATACTACAGTACCATCACTTGAAGATAGCCTCTACAAAGCAATTTAACCTCTGTAGAAATGAGCTGAATATTAAATATAAAACAATTTCATATACAGAAAGTCAACATTATAGTGTAAAAATAAACTAAACTGCATCTCACTCTAATCTACATTTCAGCTGCACTTTCCCAATAAGGTCTAAGCTGCAGAAACCTTTAAGTAAATAATTCAAAATTAAGCTTGCATAAAATTGAATTTGGGCTAAAGCCAAGCATAAACCGATTCATACTTGTGGTAAAAGAGTCGGGCCATCCCCATTCGCTGCTTCTCTCCTCCAGACAAGACATCCTTCCAGTCCTGTACGGCATCCCATCCTCCTTCTCGAGTAACAATGTTTTGAAGGTTCACAATACCTAGAATGGTTACTAGGTCGTCATCAGTGATGCCCTTCTTCTTCATGTCTTCGTGAGAGTCTGGGTATGCTACCTGGTCACGCAGGGTCCCCACTGACATGTACGGTCTAAGGGAGGCATCTGTTATCAGTATAAATTATGACAAATGGAACTATGACATACTGTCAGACTAACATACAAATATTTATAAATGAGAAGCAAGTAAATTTGTTTAATGCTATACAGTACTTGAATAGAAAGTATTCCCACAGTAAGCATGATACGTTAGCACAAAATCATGGAATTATTTACACTTTACTTTTTCCCTATATTATCTCTCCTGTTCACATGATTTGTTATTAATTTATTTACCTTTGAGGTATGTAGAACATGTCTGAAACAACAGGTTTCTGGAGGTGTCCGGAATACACTGGCCACAAACCACTCAAGATGCGGAACAAAGAACTCTTTCCACAGCCATTAGGACCTAGAAATATGCATGATAAATGATTTAAACCAGATAATATTGCTTAGGATTTCTTATTGAAGGAGAAGTGAAGTGTTGAAGTGAAACACATTAGTAGGGTTCTCTTTTTAATGACTTCAATTTGATAATAAACAGATGCTTAAAGAACAATGTCCTTTGATAAAGAAATTTAATGCCGTGATTAGCCAAGTAACACAATGATAACGTTGGAATTTAGATCTCCATAACCCGGATTCAAAACTGCAATAACAGATTATACCTGTGATGAGAAGATGCATTTGTGGAGTGACAGTGATGGTGAGGGATGGCACCACCACATCGCAGTTTGGCGTCACAATGGGAACATTGTTTATTATTATAGTTCCATCAGCACTCTCTGTAACCACACCTGCAAACCATTACACACATTTTATACAATCTTACAACCAAATATGACAAATTTTTTTTTTTAGACAAATACATTTTACAAATAAGGGATTGGATACTCTTGCGTTGGTCACTTAGTTGATATCTTACAAAATTACTCTGCATTTCACATGGATACTGTAAAATCTACCCTAGTGTAGTGACTTTCCACTACCCAAATCATAATAGGAAAAGACTGGAAAATGTTTAATCCAGCCTTCAATTACTTTCACAAAGTACACTCATATACTGTACACTGAAAAATCTCCTCCAAGAAATACTCAAAATCAAGTGTGTTTTACTTTAATCTCTCTTTCATGTAAGTTGCTCCATTCCTTTTGGGATCCTGGATGCCTTTTGGTAACTCTTCAGGAGCCTCCATCTGCTTCCTGTGGCTTTGGGGATCCCACTCTGCAGTTCAATAAGGTTTCTCCTTTTAGTTTTGATATAGTAGTTACTCACTTGCATCTCTCATTTCCCTTAGAAAGCATCTGAATGAAATAGCTCAGAAATCAGGTTCTGAGTGAATTTAATTTAAGTGCATCTCTCAACCATATCATTTGGTCATTCCCAATCCCACCCTTCGTGCTTGTACTTGTATTTACAGTCCCTCATCTATTGTTTGCAGAACTTATTCTTAATATGAGGTAGTATTGTTTATTGGCTGGGTTTAGGGAAGTGAATCATGAAGTGCTGTCACCTGGCAGCAGCTGGTAGAAGTGACCAGGCACCTCAGCTGGTAATTAATGAGAGCTCATATGGAGGTCACTAATGATGTTAAACTAAAGCTTGGAAACTTTTCCTTCCTATTTCATTCACTTTGTTTTAAGCATCCATAAAATAGGTAACTACTAATCCCGAGTGGCTGTCCCATTATTTAGGCTGTATTGCTTATTTATTTGCATGTACGGTACTGTACAAGGACATTCCCTATCAGCCCATTCTTGATTCCAGATGAATCCAGACTGCAATGTCAGTGTTATTAATATTATGTATATTGATTCCCCGTATTCCCCACCATGTGCTAAGTGTGACACAATACTGACAGTGACTGAGAAGACTTAGGGTTTCCCAAGTACAGTTGGCTTCATTCTCATCTCTCAATCAGGAATCCTGGGTTCGAACTCTGGGTGGGACAGAAATAGCTGGGCATGTGTCCTTTCATCTCCTGCCTCTGTTCACCTAGCAGTAAATAGATACCTGGGAGTTAGTCAACTGTTGTGGGGTTGCATCCTGGGAAGGGTAAATAGTTCGACCATGGGCAGGACTTTGATACAAGCCTACCACAAACATTTGCAGGCTGCCTGTACCCAACAAATGAATTATTATGCAATTTTAATATAAATATTTTGGTCCCCTTTTTGTTGCACTAAATTTTGAATGAACATAAGTTTAAGCTATTTGTTCTATCAACCCTATTAGAAATAATTAATATATTAACAGTGATATCTATAAGAACTACAGTTGCACAATATTCAAATATAAATGTTTTTAGTCTAAAGTTCAAACCCAGTGCTAGGTGGTAAAATCCCTTCTTTGGCTGATTCAGCTACCAAGTAAGAACTATCTTTTGATTCCCACAGTTCGTTGCTGCTTCCGCACTGAGCTGTGGTGGACCCTTAGGGCAGTTTCAGTGTAACCTATTTCAGTGCCAACTTCCAGATAAGGTACAATACAGTATTAACTTATTTGACACTGTATTTATACATTAAAAAATCTATCAATTAGTAAGCTAACTAACCAATTTAGTAAACATGACAGTCAAAATTCACGCTGACAGAAAAATGCATTTCTAACCGTTAATAACTGGCATTCCATTATGGAAGGTGAGGAGGGCTGATCGCTCACGTTCTGGCTGCTCCTCTCCTTCTGTCATTACTGCAGGCCGTTTGTATCTGCCTTTCTGCACATCTTCAAATACTTCAAGCATGTTACCCACTCTTGCAGTGTAACCAGCCAACTCAACAATTTCCTAGAATTAAAAAATATAAAAGAAATAATTCACGAGTAGAAGCACTGCATAGTAATATACACAGTACAGTACTCTACTTCCATTCCAAGAATTATACTATATATTTTGAGGTTGTACATTTAGAACTCCAGGTGTGACTAGTTTAATGTGACTTTTGTATTATATACAGAAAAACTTGACTGGGAATTTGCACATTTAAATCATTAGTGACAAACCAGGCCAGTATCATAAAATGCACCTTAGCTTGAGTACACTCTCCTGGCTATTGAGAAGTACTGGAGATAGTCAAATCCCAAGGCATAGCAAGTTTTCAGATAATGCCTTCACTCTTGCAACATCGCCAATGTTTGTACTATACAAGTGAATTATTACTGCATATTTAATCTAATTTTTTTTTATCTTGTATCATATATCAGGTTTTAATGAATAAGTTGAGGAAAATTCCCTTTCAATACATTAATTACAGTACTATGCTGCATGTTCGTTTAAGAATATGTGAAACATCAAACTTTATTAGTAGCTGAAGTGTAAGGGAAATCCTTATTGACTTTTATCTCACTATTTGCTGGCTGTTGATGATGGTAACAATAATAAAGTTGACAAAAGAGCTACATATGATACAAATAGCTTACGTACTTTATATGAAGTTAAGAGACGTTCAACAGCATCAGCTCCAGAAACCAACATGTTTTTGGCAGTGGTGAAGTACTGGGTTCGGTCAGAAACTCCACCATCAATTTCTCCACCTGTTAACACCATCAATAGTGATAGTTAATGTGTATGAGCAGCAACAAACATGACCACCAGTTATCATTAGCAGTTATTAAAAATAGACTATAATAAGTTACAGAGAAAAGGTCAAGTCAAAGTACTGCAATAAAGTACTGTATTAAGATTAGTTACAATTAAACAATAAAAACAATTGTATTCGATGGAGCACAAACAGTGCGTTGAACATAATGTAATGCTTCTTTCTACATTAGATGCTCTCTGAGCCAGAGCATTTATAGTGCACCTAGGAGTCAACACCTGCCAGGCTCCTGCAGTGTATACCACACTGTGAATTGAATGCTAAAAGTACAGAACACCCTCTGTGCCAAGACAGTATTCTTCACTAGAACCAAGAGATTAGAAAAGTTCATTTAATATGCATATGAAGTGAGAGGTTTTAGAATGATGTCAGTATTAAAAAGAGAGGATTGTTGGCTCCCAGGACTCTGTTGTGGTGACAGTGGTGACACCTGGTGGCAATCAATGCAGCTCTGTTCTACTAAACAGTAGTTACAGAGTGATAATTAGAATTGTTTGTGCTGCTGGTTATTGCTTGAAGGGTTGGCTTATGTTAGACTCGCCACTGTCTGCCTTTCTCTAAATATATGACAGGACAATTAGGAAACATGCGCATCATGAAAATAAAAATCAGACTCACAAGAATCTGGTTTCTGTTGTGAGCAATGGGTCAACTAAAAATGTAATGATTCAGAGAACATCTGAGGGGCCAAAGCTGAGAAAAAAATATTAAAGTGGAATCTATAGCAAATGGTTGAAAACGTCTGCAATAACAGCTATATTGCATTAGCAATAAGAAAACCCACAGGATGGATTAACTCTGGTGGGGGGGGGGGATAATACTAAGAAACTGATTACTACAATGAGTAAAGGTGACTAATCTTTATTGACATGAGCAAGACACAGCAATAACAATTAGTTTCCTGAGAATGTTAGCAAGTATTGGGCTATGAAGTACTCACTTTCATTTTTATTGGAGGTGAGGAGAGGAATGGAGACCATTATCATGCCAACACCTGACCAAACATACTTCATGAGGAACTGCTCAAACATGATATACCATAAGCGCTTATTGAAGATCACCCCCATTTGCCGTACCAGCGAGTGATAAGCTTTTTGTAGGATAGCAAGCTCCACCTGTGAATCAAGTGGTTACTGTCTTCAACAAGGCGTTGGCCATACCAAAATTTAGAATTATTTAAATGAATACAGTACAGTATGTAATTTAGATGCATTAATCTCAAAATTATTACATTGTACTTGGTATAACGAATTTAAAAAAAATCTTGCAAATTAAATACAAATTTACATATGAATTATCCAAATTAAAGCCATATAACAATTAAAACCCTCCTTCAAATCCGTGGGTAATATTCCATTAGTTGACATAACAAGCACCGAGAAGTAGCCGTGACAAACAGCTGGATGACTAATGTTACGGTAAAGATGCACCCAAGATGCACATGCTCACATGATTTAGCAGCAAAACTAAACCATAAAGGTTAGGTTACCTCATGTCCACCATAAAAAGCAATCTCCTCTGCATTGGTGATAATTCGAGAGTGGATGGCGCGTAGATAACCCCTGCGGTGAGCTTCTTCAGACACGAGATGCCCAAATTTGGGTGAAACTTTTCGTAGAATTCGACCAGTGAGCATCACCACTAAGGTACCTAATACTGGACCTGAAAATAAGATATTCATGAAATTGCAGAAAATAATTACTAAACATTGCTAGTATTGTACAGGTAAAACAAAGTTCAATATGAATACTATATATATTTAATGTTCAGTACTTGCATGAATACATGTGTGTGAACATTTTTAGCCAACATGTACTAACTCCACATGTGCTTTCTAGATGTAAAATCTAGTTGTAGGGTCCCTGCCTCCTAGATTCAGTGGCTTCTTAGTTGAGCAAAATTTAATCCACATGATACATGTAATTAAATGCAAAAGAAAAATTTATTACTGGATATAATTATTATGGTATTCGGTTGACCAAATATCAAAAATATCTATTTATATTGTTAAAAAATGGCAAATTTTGTTCAATTAAGGTTTAAGTTCGGCACATTGGATGTATTACACTAGCATCAATAGAGCTGAGAAAGATAAGCTGGCGATAAAAGAGATAGTGGCATGGGAAATCCCTGCCTCCAAACACAAGTCATTCCACCATATAACTATACAAGAAATGAAAGAATTTCCACAAACAACCTGATGGGAAAGATAGTGCATTCTATAGGATCATCTCCAACCCTGACAAGATCCAAATTAATATCACTGGCTGTTAAGCATTCACAAAAGAAAATGAGGGAAGAATTATATAGTCGGAAGTGAGCCCATTGCCACCAAGACCACCATTTGACGTGATACAGTACTGGAATATGGAATAGACAGAATGCTCATTAAACTCAGCCAACCATAAATGGAAGAGTAAAGATTGTCAAGTGCAGCCAGTAAAAATACACATATTAATACACCATACAACAGCCTGATTGACCAGACCATCAACCAGGAGGCCTGGTCAGAGACCGGGCCGTGGGGGACCTTGACCCCAGGAATCAATGCAAGGTAAGGTCAAGGAAGGTAACCGCTCCAACCCATATATAAATATAGGTTAAAACTGCATCACCTCTACAAGATGATTATGAGGCCTATGGATATGTCTCAAGCTATATCATAAACCTCACCTTGTGGGAGTGTAAAACTTATTTTTTATTTATTTATTTATTTATATATATACAAAAGTTCTTACATTCTTGTACAGCCACTAGCATGTGTACCGTTTTGGGCAAGTCCTTAATTCTATAATTAACAATCTTAATCCTCCATTTTCTCTCTCAATCCGCTGTCAACACGTGTTCAATGTTTGCCTTAAGCATTACAGTGGCAAACTTAGTTGTTCTGCCTCCCGGTTTAAATGTTATTTTATGTGTCACGTCATCTGCAAATTGCGGGATGATGGTGTCTATATTCACGTTGTGGGACCTCGTGGACAAAGATGTTGAATAGTACTGGGTTAAAGCATGAGCCCTGAGGAACACCAGCTGTTGGGATGAAGTCACGTCTGCAGTTTTCCCATTGAAGACGAAATTTTTCTATGTAACAAGAAGTTCCTAATCAGTCTAAGGAAAGTCCAGTTCTGCGCTAGTAAGTTCGTAAGCTTATACACAAGACCGTCATACAATAAGCTGTCAAAGGCCTTGTGTGCATCGCGAGTTGCAATTAGAGCAACATGGTTTTGTTGTCGAATACTGAACATTGCATCATGGATGATGTTTATCGCATGTTGCGTTGATCTGTTCCTCCTGAATCCGAACTGTTTTTCAATATATAGGTTGTTGTATTCAAAATTGTAGTCTAGTCTATTGGAAATTACCTTTTCTAGGGACTTCCCCAGTCTCTTCAAGAGGGAGACAGGGCAATAGGTGTTTTTTTTTCTTGGGCTTAGGGATGAAAATCATCTTTACCCTCTTGAAGACTTCTGGGATATGTTCTGAAACAAGAGAGTATAAGCCACGTTCACGTCTACAATTGACACGATTAACCCGTCCTCCTAAGAGCACGTCACATTTTGACGTGTACTTTACCTAAGGGCAAAAACTGTCGTACTTGAAAACGGCTCACAAAAGTGACAATGTCCTGTTTTTTATTTGTGGGGTCCTCCAGTAGATTAGGATAGGGCACCTTAGTACGACAGTTTCTTGACATTGCGAACGGACGGCACGATTATGCCCAGCCTCGCCTCCACTTCCTATCCTTTCTTCTGAAAGTGTTGTAAATCCGCTAGAAATAATCACCAACACTTAACTAGGCTAGGATTTAGTTTTATTAGCATTACGTTTTAGTCTTTAGTGTTTTTCCTGCCCGAAACGCTTTGCGTAATAGTGGCTTTAGGCATTGTATGTACTAGCTCTATCTATAAATTCATCAACATTTGTATCACCCCTTGTATGTATGTACTTTACCTGAATAAAGATTTGATTTGATATGATTTGAGGAAATTCAGGAACCCTCTATCCCCTCCCCCAACCCACCATTCGTCTCCTCAAGACCACATTTGTAGTCTGTTCATTTAATTAAAATTACTTCTGCTGTTTTCTTGCAAGTTCTGCTGTTCCATCCAACTTGTAAATATTGTCATTTTTTTTTCGTTTTTCAGTTCAATCCATGCTTTTGATCTCAATTAGTTTTAAGTCTTATAGGTTTTAAGTGTTGTTTTCCACATCTTGCCGGAAACGCTGTGCGTATTAGTGGCTTTAGGCATAGGATGTACTAGCTCTATCTAGAAACCGAACATTCTGTTTGTAACTCATTTTGTATGTATATACTTTTACCTGAATAAACATTATATTATTATTATTATTATTATTTAAGGCTACAGGAAAAAGTCAGCACAATCACACATCCATAATAACTTCCCAAAATGGAGAATCCCAAATAGCCTACTCGAAGTCCCCTGAAGAAATTAGGGACTATTCAACCAAAATTGGGAGAGACTCGATCAATAAATAAACAATATAAAATGCCAAGTCAAAGATGATTACCTGGCTTACTTATAGAAACCTGCAGAAGGCCACCAATTAAACCAACCCACCTGGAGAGAACCCCAAGTACAGCTTCCTGTAGTGTTAGTGTCAGAACAGCGGCATCCTGTACCGCCACTAGCGACCCTACCATGCTATAGGGACAAGGCACTAAACTGCTAACCCACCTCCACACACACACAACACTGTAACCCCTTCCCCATGTACAATCCCACAACACAGTATCCCCGATATATGCATCTCAACACAGTATCCCCCATATATACATCTCCACAACACAGTATCCCCCATATATACATCTCCACAACATAGTATCCCCCATATATACATTCTCATAACAGTATCCCCACATATATATCCCAATAACACAGTATCCCCTACATATACATCCCATAACGCAGTATCCCCCATATATACATCCCCGTAACACAATATCCCTCACATATACATCTCCATAACACAGTATCCCCTACATACACATCCCCATATGTGAATGGGCCATTATTTCGTCCGACTAGAGAATGTGTCTAAGAGTACAAAATAAACTAATTAGTGTAAAACTCCCTGAACTTGTTCAAGCAGACACAATGTTATTTAATCACAAAACGTATATTAAATAGCGTTTTGAGCTTTGCCTCAAGACGAAGCTTTGAGTCCGTATAAACAACTGGGCCTCTACCCTTCAGACCGAACTATTTGCCTTGCTCCTTGCACTGAAATGTGTACAAATCTTGATACATTAATTGTAAGTGACTCCTTATCATCCTTAAATGCTCTCAACTCTTTAAGACATAACTGTAACATGCTCGTGTCCGAAGCTAGACACAAATACAACAAAATTATTAAGGATGGTAACAGAGTCCATTTCATGTAGTCTCCATCTCATGTTGGCCTCCGAATGCATGATAGAGCTGATAAGTTAAGCCAAAGAATCTGCCTTTGAAGGAGCCGTTGAGTGTAACCTTGGATTGTCAATGAGCAATCTGAAAGCAGCAATGCACCGAGAACTTCAACAAGATCTTGTAGATCTGAGGCAAGGTGAAATTGACACCAGTAATTCCATCTATCATCATACTATCATGCAAGAGGAGCCACACATCTATGGATCATCCAATAAAATCAGCAGACTTCTAGATGTTACTACTGCTCGGCTTAGACTCGGTTACAAGTATCTCTGGGAATTCTCATTATCTGCTGATGTAGACCTAACCAAATGTAAACTGTGTCAACAAAATTATTCGCACACCCTCCGTCACTATGTGATGGAGTGCGAAAAGATACGTGAATTTAGAGACAATTCTATAGCCAATGTTCCAGCGTTGTGTAAATATTTAATTCAAAATGATCTGCTACCAGAAATTTTAGCCAAATATCCCCAGTTTGCTAACTGTAGGTAGTAAGTGAGTGATTGTAACCTATCCACCGCTGCCCACTGGATGGGGGCGGTGTGCAGGACAAACATATAAATTGTGACACTAGCTCTCCAGATATGTCAGTTGCTTAATTTAGAACCTGTACTTGAGGTCGATCTCGAACCCATTGTTGATGTGAAGACTTATATTGAATTTTGTAACTAGCTCATCAAGATTGTAACTTGCTTAGCTAAATTAATTGTAGGGTTCAGTCCCTGAGCCCATTATGTGCCTCTGTAACCCTTTCCACTACCGCCCACGGGATGGGTATGGGGTGCATAATAAATGAACTAAACTAAAAAAAAACTAAAAATAGCGGTTTTTTTCAAGTGGCAAATATATCAATTCATGGTAAAACTATAAGTTGGAATGCCATGGTAGGTCCAATTATGAAAGAAAGTGACCTTCTGGAGATTATATTATCTATTAGGGTATCGAACGCGAGGTCCGACGATGTGGCGTGAGGGACGGTGTTATCTTTCGTGGCCTGTTTGGTTAAAGTCCACCTGTGTGTATGCTCACCTAGTTGTGCTTTCGGGGGTTGAGCTATGGCTCTTTAGTCCCACTTCTCAACCGTTAATCTACTGGTGTACAGATTCCTAAGCTTCTCAAGCTCCATCATATCTACATTTGAAACTGTGTATGGAGTCGGCCAGCCTCCACCACATCACTGCCTAATGCATTCCATTTACTAATTACTCTGACACTGAAAAAGTTTTTTCTAATGTCTCTGTGGCCCATCTGACACAGCTTCCACCTGTGTTAAAGAATCCATCCTTGTCTACCGTCAATTCCCCTGAGAATTTTGTGGTTGTGATCATATCTCCCCGAGCTCTTCTGTTTTCCAGCGACGTGAGGTGCAGTTCACTCAGCCTTTCTTTCTAATTCATGCCCATTAGTTCTGGGACTAGCCTAATGGCATATCTCTGAACTTTTTCCAGCTTCGTCTTGTGCTTGAAAAGTACGGGCTCTATGCTGGGGCCGCATACTCCAGGATTGGTCTTACATATGTGGTATACGAGGTTCTGAAAGATTCCTTACACAGGTTTCTGAAGATATTCTGATGTTAGCCAGCCTTGCATTCGCCACCGATGTTATAAAATATGTTATAAACATATATGTTATGCTCACCTGTATGTGCATACAGGACGAGCTTCAGCTCTTGGTCCCCCCGCCGTTCATGCACACGCCGACGAACCTATTCAGTATTATACATCAAGGTATTAATGTAATTCCTTCATACTTCTAAAACCTTTGACAGTGAATTCAACTATTCTCCCTGCACAGGGCAATAAAGCAAAGCAATAGTCTCATGTTCCCTGTAGGCATTATTAGGGTAAAATCGGCTGCAATGTTTTTTTTAGGCCTTACCTTTCTGTTACCTTTTGATGATTCCGAGGTTCAACGTCACCCGCGGCCCGGTCTCTGACCAGGCTTGGGGCCTGGTACTTTTAGAGTAATGATTTCCTCAAACCACAAACCATTAGGCGATTTAATTCAAGGTCCCAAATTTGTACTTGTTTTGGGAGGGGTCACGACCCAGAACAAAACAACGCTGCCCAATCGTGTCACCTTGTGCCGGTATTGGCTGTTATTGGCTAAATTCTCCAACACGTGTTGGGGAATTTATATGATCTGCAGCTTCTGGCATTCAGGCCCATGGTCTGAACATAGCCTGTATGAGGTATATCCAACTGAATTCATTCAAATTTCTAATACATGCATGTGTACGATACTTGGCTTTCCGTCTGCCAGTAGTAAAAAATTACTAGACCAATCGACAGAGTCTTGGCAGGAGTTACTTAACTTCATGTATTAATGCTTTCTATACCCATCCCGTATTTGTTTAGCTATGGGTATACAGAACTGATGAACTAGCTACAGAGTTTGTTAGCATATTCTATGTTCAGGCGCAATAACCTATGCAAATTTAGAACCAATTGTATTTACAAGGTTAGTTGTATAGTATAATTACAGTACTATACGGCAAGTTATAATGTTACACTAGTCATGAAGTAAGTAAGAAACTTAACAGCAGTGCAATCTTAGAGTAGGCCAACTTTGGGATACCGAGTAATATGGTATTACTCGGCAAATACCATATTATCCTGCACCAGACAGGATATTTAGTTTTTCAAATTGCTTAGATTTCGTTTCACATACTTCTCAAATTGTTTAGGCTTCGTTTCACATACTTCTCAAATTGTTTAGGCTTCGTTTCACATACTTCTCAAATTGTTTAGGCTTCGTTTCACATTCATTCTCAAATTGTTTAGGCTTCGTTTCACATTCATTCTCAAATTGATTAGGTTTCGTTTCACATTCTCTCTCAAATTGATTAGGTTTCGCTTCACATTCAGTTACATAATGGAGCGTATGTTTATAGTTTTACTGCCAAAGTTGTCATTTGGACATACCTGCATCAGCAGGTGGGTCTCAGATACTTACTGCTAACCTAAGTTTAGCAATTGTAACGCCTAGATTACAATTGGATGAGACATCGAGCCCTGAAATCATTGCAAGGTCTGCTGTCCTTTTTGATATCCCATAGATACGTTGCTTTTCCTGCATGGTAGAATGATGATATATGTAATAGCTTGTGTATTTTGATAAGGGGTATCTGTAGTAGATTGTATTTGTGGTAGTCCAGAGGGGGGGGGGGGGGTCCCGGTAGTGCACGTTTCCAATCACCTCTTGTTCCTGTCCACCTAGCAGTAAATAGGTACCCAGCAGTTAGTCAACTTATTGTGGGGTTGCATCCTGGGAAAGGAGGAGTGTGTCAGTAATTTCACCCTGGGGAAGACCTCGATATAAGCCTAACAAATACTGCATGTATGTATAAACTGTCTGCTTGTCCACTGACACAATGAATTATTATTTGGCCATTGTGGACACACAAAAGATCTAACAGAACTATTCTACTCGCATCATTTACCCAGTGGGCACAATATCCAGAAGTAACGTTATTACTCGTTGTTATTACTTGCCTCATTATTACTGAATTGTATTACATATGTGAAATTTAATCTATACACCTATCGTATGGTGATTGGAAGGATCAATTCCCCTGTCGGTTCTGTTTCTAGACCAAGCCTCAGCTGCTGGTCAGTTCCCTCAAGTATTTACCTATCAGTGACTGATCAAATGCCCATGTGTGTTAATCATTATATGGTTTAAATGTAACAAAGCCAGAGACTATTCACATCTCCTATTCTAGTAGCAAGAGGAAGGCCATAGGGATACGTTATACTTAACAGAACATTATTCATTCAGAATAGCTAACCCTATATCTGTCCAATGGCTGCAGTTCATGTTATGAATGAGAGGGTAGATATCCACGCATGGAATTCGTTTCTGGGAGACGGGACTGACACAAATGGCTTCTTTAGCAGGATTAAAACAAATTTAAATATAGGTGTTTAATAGTTAAAAACTTCTTTCAGCAACAATACATCAGGCAAGTTCAGACTTGTCTGACTGTGAATATGCCTGTGTATGTCTCAGCCGGGTTGTCAATTTATCTCATATTGGACTAAATTTAGCTCTAGCTGTTTCATATCTTGTTTCACACCTAATTTACAACCAAATTCTCTGCAATTATTGAAACTGACAAAAACTGATGATGCGTGGATGATGGTTGTGCATGTTAAGTCAGATTAAGCTTCAGTTTTGAATTTTTAGCTCTTTTTTTTTTTAGCTACTGTACTATTTTTACCAATTTTAGATTTTTTAAAGATTAGCTTCCATGGTGTGGACAAGTGGTGCTTGAGACTGGTACATTATATCTAGACAAATGCAACTGTGAGCAGCGATAACTTGATCAAGTGTGTGGCAATGGATAAAAAGTACATACAGTCACAGTGGTACAACCCATTTGATATTAAATGGCACAGTGGCAATAGAAAACAATTCAGGTGCTAACATGGATGATAAAAAAACTCCCAGAAGTGAATAGTGAACAAATGATATGTAACTGTAGGAAAAACATGTTAATGTTTTGAACATAATGGGATTATGTTAATGAAGAAGGCTCCAAGCACATCAATTGATGATGAAAGTGACATGGAGGTCACTTACTTCACATATACAGCACTGAATCAGCTATACAATTATTAAATGAAAGTCTTAAGTAGTGTTAGAGTATCACCTATCTAGAGAAAGAGAATGCAGGAACATACTGCAGATGAAAATCTATTAAAATTGCACAATTTGTAAAAAACAAGATACTGTATTCCACATGCCAACCAAAAAACCTAAATCGATAATCAAGGTTGTGATGCCATACTGCAACAACAAAAAGTCATGTATGAAGAAATCACAACAAAAAGCGAGAAGTTTATAATTTTTACACTTCTTCCTGAAGATTCAAGCACCAGAAGAATAAAGCAAGAATTTCCACATGTAATTAACTACACAATATGTAAAGCTAAGCAATTAGTAAGAGAGATTTTGTCATCAGCAAATCCTTCAATCAGGGATTGAACACAGACCTGCATGAAGCAAAACCGTCATTCTACTGTTCAGTTCAAGTGGCAAACCAAGCTAGCATGGAAAGATTGGGAGAAAAATATAATTATAGAGCTCAAATACAAAGTACAGTAAATGTCTTGTCCATGACCGTCACTCGGTAAGTAAATCCATAAACTGGAGATGAGCTGAATAAGCCTCTTACAAAATGTCCTCTGCAAGCTTAAGAATACAGAATTATACATACTTGTCTCTCACCTGGCAAGCTGGCTCCACCACGAGACCTGGCCAGGGAGGCAAGAGAGTATGTGATGAGCAGTGAGTCAAGCAGTGGCTTGGTGAGATGGGAGTAAAGGTGAGCCACACTGGACGTGAAGGATGCAATATCTTCAGTGAGGCAGTGATCTGCATTCTCCATCCGCCCATCCAGGTTGGAGACACGATAATAACATTGATTCCTGAAGTAGAGATCGTAGGAGTAGCGTGTGAGGCGGGTACGAAAAGTAAGTGCCAGGTGTGACTCCAGGAATCGTATCAAGGAGTTGACTAGAGTGGCTGGGATAGCAATGGAAATCCACTTGGTCATCATGAGAGAGAACTTTACCACGTCCTTCCGCACAATATACTTGACAACTCTTCCCTCCAGCTGCGCCACATATATGGAGAGAAAGGTGCGAGTAACAAGGGTCATGGTGTGTAGCAGGAGGATCACCGCTGACTTAGACCATACACCTGGGATTATAACTCTTAATAGCTTTTTCAGCTGCACAATAAATTCTCTATTCACAGTCGGACCCTTTTTACTCTTGTACATATCCTTAGTTTTAATTGCCTCTATCTCTGCCTCTGTCGCCTGGCTCCTGCATAGCTCCCTGATCTTTGGATATATTATTTTGTATATATAAACACCTATCAATAGGGACATTCCTCCCCTCGTTACTGTCGCTTCACTCACATTCAGCACCCGCGACGTATCTCTGATCAACTTGGACGCTGCGTTCGTCATCGTCTTATTATTATTTAAGAAAGCTCTGCGTTAAAATACAACCATTAAATGCACCCAAAAGCGTGTAAGATAGAAAAGAAATGAGAGGGAGTAAGGGAAGCGAGAGCAACAGCCCACCACCAGAACCAGACTACGACTGAGCTGCAGACGACACACTGTTATTGTCGTCCGCTGCTCTCCACACTTACTTCACTTCCACGCAACTTTTGTACACTTAATAACAATAATAATTATTATAAAATTAATAATAATACTTCTGTCATGAGTTTTTCTTAAAGCGTTATAGGTGTGCCTGTAAGCTTATTAATCAAAAACATCTTATCTAAGAGGCCCTAAACAACAGGCCGGTGTCCTTAACTTGAATACCATGCAAGGTGATGGAGATGATCGTGAGAAAAAACCTATTAGCACATCTGGAGAGAAGAGACTCTGTAACACGTCACCCGTATGGGTTCAGGGAAGGCAAGCCGTGTCTCACAGGCTTAATAGAAGTCTATGACCAAGCAACAAGAATTAAGCAAGAAAGAGAACGATGGGTAGACTGCATTTTCTTGGACTATCAGAAAGCTTTTGACACAGTAACTCATAAGAGACTGTTGCATAAGTTGGAGAAGCCAGCTGGGGTAAGTGGTAGGGTGCTTTAATGGATAAGGGAGTACCTAAACAACAGGATGCAGAGTTACTGTGAGGGGTGAGACCTCAGACTGGCGTGATGTCACAACGGAGTTCTGCAGGGTTCTGTACTAGGACCTATCCTGTTCCTGATATACGTGAATGATCTGTCAGAAGAAATAGACTCATTCCTCTCAATGTTTACCGATGATGCTAAAATTACGAGAAGGATTAAGATAGAAGAGGACGGCAAGAGGCTACAGGATGACCTGGACAGACTGAAGGAATGGTCCAACAAATGGCTACTAGAGCTTACCCGAGCAAGTTCAAATTGATGAAGATAGGCGTAGGGAGCAGGAAGTCAAATACAAGGTACCATCTGGGAGAGGAAATCCTCCAGGAGTCAGGACGAGAGAAAGATCTGGGGGTTGATATCACACCAGACCTGTCCCCTGAAGCCCACATCAGCGGCGTATGCAAGGCTGGCGAACATAAGAACTGCCTAAAGAAACTTGTGCAAGGAATCATTCGGAACCTTGTATACCTCATATGTCAGACCAATACTAGAAAATGCGGCCCCGGCGTGGAGTCCACATCTAGTCAAACAGAAAACGAAGTTACAAAAGGTTTGGAGGTATGCCACCAGGCTAGTCCCGGAGCTGAGAGGAATGAACTATGCGAAAAAATTACTGAAACTGAACCTCTCGACACTGGAAGACAGAAGAGTTAGGAGAGACATGATCACTACCTACAAAATTCTCAGAAGAATTGGCAGGGTAGATAAATATAAACTGTTTAACACGGGTGGTACACGAACAAAGGGACACGGGGGGAAACTGAGTACCCAAATGAGCCATAGGGACGTTAGAAAGAACTTTTTCAGTATTAGAGTAGTTAACAATTGGAATACATTAGACAGTGATGTGGCGGAGCCTGACTCCTTACACGTTTCAAATGTAGATATGATAGAGCCCAGTAGGCTCAGGAAGTACACCGGTTGATTGACAGTTGAGAGGCGGGACCGAAAAGGCTCAGGAATCTGTACACCAGTTGATTGACATTTGAGAGTAGGAACCAAAGAGTCAAAGCTCAACCCCGACAAGCAAAACTAGGTGACTACACTAGAGATCACGGAAGACGAAGTGAAATTAAAATATTTTAATGATAAATTCAGTAACCCCGATAATAAACCTCTGTTTCCCGTTCGTTTGTTAATATGCCTTCAGTATCTATGAGCTCACCATAGCCCGTGCTACTTGGAACTTTTTGTTCCGAGTAGCTGAATCTAAAACATCAACAGTCTTCACTAAAATTAGCATGTCTTAATATACACAGCTTCTCCGGGTTGGCGATTCTTTGCCCCCGTTATATCTAACCGGATCCAGGCGACATATGTGAACCAGGAATGCTGTTAAAGGAAGTGACATACAATAACATTGAAACCTAAGGCGCAAAAATCGCGACATGTTTGAGCAGGAGCCCAACGTGTTCTGAGCGGCGAGGGTAAACCATCGGGATGATATCGTAGCTGTGCGTCTCACGACATGCAAGAGTGAAGTAGCGGCAACACCACTAACAGTGGCGGATGTGGCCTGCACAGGTCTGAGGGGCATTACACCTTTACAAAAATTGAGTTTACATCTCAATTATGTCAATATTATGATTGATTGATTTTTGCATGAAGAGATAACAATAATAATGTAATATTGAGACAATAGTTAGGATTAGAAAAAGGAGTTCACAAAAATAGGTAAAAGTTAAATAATTTTATTTAATAATAAATTAGGTAAATGCACAGACTTGCGTAGTAAACAAACAAGAGGCCAGTGTTGCCAGATTGGGCTACAAATAGCGAATTGGGCTACTTTTGAGAGCCCCGCGCTCCCAAATTTTTAATTTCGCTACTTGCTACTTTTTGGGCTAATTTAAAAGCAAGATGTGCTAATTTGGGCTATTAATGTTAAGAATGTACGATTGCGAGTTACATAAAAGTAACTAAGCTATAAATAATTGTAATTAATAATAATTGTAAATATTAATTAATAATAAATAATATTATTTAATAAATTAGTCCCAATTCAATGCAGTTTTCTTCCAAGCACAGAAACTTGTAAATATAAATACAAGATAATAGAAAGATCGATAAATAAATGGACAACTTTCAAATATTGCACCAAGTAATGGCGAGAGGAAAAAACTTGACAGTATACATTACATTTGAAATTAATAATGGATGTAATAATTTAATGGTAATGGTAAAATTGATGTAAATTGGTGTATTTGTATGTATACCAGACAAAGTCCATTTAATGGCAGAATTTACCCATTTTGTGTAAAAACTTTTATATCTCATATTATTAATTATAACAGTAATTAAAAAAAGTCATAGTTTGTATATACAAGAGATGAAACAGAGAGCCATGAGCTAGAGCGATGTGCCGAGTCCATAAGGAGGCGGAGCTTCCAGAAATACCTTCCTGTGATTGGCTGTTGCAGGGAATACCAACACTCTTTTATGAATAAAATTTAAACTAAGAAATAGGTCCTTGTGCACAACAACAAGGTTGTTGTGAAAAAGAACAACAATTTCTGTTTTGCACCTGACAGAAATCTCCATCTAACTCGAATAAGAGGGCAGAGCAGTGTATCATTATTAGTGTCAAGGCAACCCCCAATAATAACGTCACAAGTTAGGTAGCCAGCCCATTTTTATATAACATCTGTTATATCCTGCAATATTTAATTATAACTTTATTAACACTAAATAATTTACACTTCACTTTTTTTGGGTAAATTAAAGTTAAAGCAGAATTACATAAACAGGACTGGTGGGCTGAACTAATATGATTTACTAAGTGGATGACACCTATAGCTGATCCCTTCCTGTGATTGGCTGTTGTGTGAATGTCAACAAAGAGTTTCTACCAATGATATGCCATCATTTTATTTATTATGCACCCCATACCATCTTGATTTGTGGGTGGAGCTTGAGACCTCTTACCCGAGCACAACAACATTGCATTATTATGCCTTTAAACACTGATCTATACGTCTGGTAGCTTATAATAAGGTTTTATACCATGAAACCATGTATTAGGTAACTAGAATTCTGCAATTACTTTTTTTATCTACTGTTGAGGATATGTAAGACAAATGTAAGGTTTTGAGGCTAAGTAACGAAGATAGTTACAAGATACAAGCCAGATGGTGTTGAGATTGCAATAAGGATTATGATAAGAACTTAAGCCAAAAAATCAATGCATAAATGTTCGCAAATATGAGACTGGGATTTATTTCTCGAAAAGTTAGCAATAAAATACGCTTTCTAGTTCTTTATTTTTAAAATTAAGACCAGGGATTCTGTCTAACGAAGCTGCAAGCTAAAACACCGTTATCCTATAATGTTCATCTGTAGCTTGACCCTAAATACTCGTTTATTAAACGAATTTAATGTTAGAGTTCATTAGGAATCAACGTTGTTGAAGGCAGAGTTTCCAACAAATACCTTCCTGTGATTGGCTGTTGCGGGGAATGCCAACGCTTATATGAATAAAATGCAAAATAAGAAATACGTCCTTTTGCTCAATAACCTTCGTGTTGTTGTACAAAAGAACAACAATTTCTGTTTTATACAAGACAGAAATTTTTATCTAACTGAATAATGTAGACCAATAAGAGGGCGGAGGCATTGTATCGCCGATATTATTTGTGTGAGGCAACACCCTCTGATGACGTCACAAGTTAGGTAGCCAGCCCATGTTTCTGTAACACTCGTTACATCCTGCAGTATTTAATTATCACTATATTAATACTTTTAAATACTTAACATTTCACTTTTTAGGTAGATTAAAGTTGAAGCAGAACGTCATAAGCAAGGATGGTGTGCTGAATAAAGATGATTTATTAAGTGGATGGAGCCTTTAGCTGATCCCTTCCTGTGATTGGCTGTTGTGTGAATGTCAACAAAGAATATCTACCAATGATATGCCATTTATTATGCACCCCATACCATCTGTGGGCGGAGCTTGGAACCTCCTACCCGAGCACAACAACCCACCTTATGGGTTGCTGTTTGGCTATTTATAGTGCGTTGGAAAAAAACTAGATGGCGTTAGTTGTATTTTGTGGGGTAATTTGTTATAAGTGTAATTTGATGTCAACAGATGGCGTAAGCTGTATCTTAAGGCCACTGTTGACCAGCCAGTTGATAGTGTTCTCTTCTGCCGACAGATGGCATCAGCTGTGTTAATTAATATTACTTTCGAATTCCCTTTTAAACACTGATCTACAAGTCCCTTAACTTATGATAAGGTTTTATACCATTTATGATAAGTAATCGATAACTGGAGTTCCGCAATTACTTTTATTTATCAACTGTTCAGGATATCATCATATAACGTCTGGTTAGGACGTACTGCTCTCGATTGATGAAGATTAAGCCACTCAAGAGGTGGCACGGGCATGAATAGCCCGTAAATACTGCTCTCTTAATATTATTCAGGAGGGGTGGGGGAACTATCAAGTGAAAGTGCCAAGCCATTACGACTATATAGCACTCGGAAGGGATCAGGATACGGATTTGGGATGGAACGGGGGAAAGGAATGGTGCCCAACCTCTTGGGCGGTCGGGGATTGAACGCGGACCTGTAGGAAAGGAGACTGTCGCTCTACCGTCCAGCCCATGTGATTAAGCGTAATACTATTAAAACAACAATTTATGCATATAATAACAGCATTTCACACTAAAAATACTTGGATATATCGAAATTTGGTAGTGAATTCCAATCTAGGAATCTCCTATGACTAAACTGTACTTTTTAATTATTTTTATGTACTTACTATTTATTATTAAATTATTAAGTACTTACTATAATAATTAAATAAATTATTTTATTTAATATTTAGATTAAACGATAAAATAATAAGTAATAATATATCATTGTGTAGGGGGGACAGGCAGCCAGTGTGTATATATACATGTTAGGCTTATACCAAGGTCCCACAAAGGTGCCAAATTAAAGACTTTATTATTATTATTATTATTTTCTACCACAAACGTGGCCACATTTACAGTGCTAACCAGCATATATACATTTTCTTCTGTCCTCCAGAGACAGGGTTAGAGATCAGTTAAACATATAGTTCAGGGATTTATTGAACAATCAACCACAGAAGGTGATTCGGTACTTTTAAAATGCTAAGCTAACCTACATACGTAAATACATAGATGCACAGATTTACGTATGCCCTACATAAAGTGTTCGAAGTGTCATTAATGAGCATTTACAAAGGTGAAATGCAATTCTGATCAGCTTGCATATGTACTTTATACACATACATATGCATACACACACACATATATACGTACATATACACATATACATACATATATACACACACATGCATTCACATACATTTGTCTCTTTTACTCTGACAGGGTGAGATAGCTGACAGAGAAACTAGTGTGCAATTAAGCACTTAATCACTGAAGGTGATTAAGGTGCTTTTACAAGCTCAGGTTATATAGTTACATCACACACATACATTGTATAAATGATACATTACATGGTCAATCTTGGATACAAGTCCAATATACCATCAAGTGTTCCAGTACTCATATAGTAATTAAAGACTGGGTGCTGCCTGGGCGGGCCCAAGGGCTGCTGGCGGCCCTGGCCAGGCTGAACTTCCGCGCCCTTATAATCACCATTGTTTAATAATCTTCACAGGGAGAAACAACTGTAAATATAAGAATAGTTTATTACAACATACACGGTAAAGAAAACAGGACTATATGCGACTGAAAACTCACACCCCAGAAGTGACTCGAACCCATACTTCAGGCTTGTTCGCATTTGTGTTCCTCACGTGTGCCCCAAAGAATGAGGTGATTTGATAAAATGCTATGCCCAAGATTACCATCCGAGTGCCGGCAGGGAAGTGGTTCAAATAGGTTCGGCTATCATTTCCTTATTGTCCGGTCGTGATGGTCAAGTTTATTTATTTATTTATTTATTTATGCATATACAAGAATGTACATAAGGAATGTGAGGATACAAATATGGTAATTACAGTCTTGTAAAGCCACTAGCACGCGCAGCGTTTCGGGCAGGTCCTTAATCTAAGAAAATTTTAAGGAGGTAAATACTTGCAAAATTTATAGACAAAAAAATGATAACAGATTACATGAAATGAAAAAAAAAAGAAGATGAGAGAAAATTGTAGGTACAGTATATTAAAGCACATAGGTAGCTAAGATTGCAATGACAGCTTAAAATGGTAGTTGACAACAAATTGGTAGGCACAATACAGCAGAAACAATATAAGATTGATTGCAATGACAGCTTGAATGGTAGTTGACAAAAATTGGTAGTCACAATACAGCATATGGCTAGCACATAAAAGAAGATAGCAATGAACACAATGATAAGGTTGTTTGATATTACATAAAAATTAGGAGATTGGGTAACACTAGGTACAGAGCAAATTTAAAGCTCAGTGTAGGAAACTAAGAAGATGAAGTTAGGTACTTTTTGGTTTTGCTTTTAAATAAGGCAAGAGTTTTACAGTTTTTCAATTCACTAGGGAGTGAGTTCCATAGACTAGGTCCCTTAATTTGCATAGAGTGTTTACACAGATTAAGTTTGACCCTGGGGATATCAAAGAGATATTTATTTCTGGTGTGGTGATAATGGGTCCTATTACATCTGTCCAGGGAGAGTTTCAGAGCTCAAAGTGGATTAAGGTGTCCTGTAGTTACCAGTTGCGTTGCTCCTGGGAGTATGGGTTCGAGTCACTTCTGGGGTGTGAGTTTTCAGTCATATATATATATATATATATATATATATATATATATATATATATATATATATATATATATATATATATATATATATATATATATATATATATATATATATATATATATATATATATATATATATATATATATATATATATATGGTGTATACTGGCAGCAGGTTTTCTTTTAAACATGTCTCATTGAATATGGCCGCATATTCTGTATTTACTATCTTCTGATTTAGGGCTTCTATCCCTCTAACTATTTTCTTAGCATCAGGGCTTAACTGAAATAGGAGTTCTCCAAAACTCATTTTCGTAATTTCAAGGTGAAGAAAAGAAGTGAATTACTATAGAATGTATTACACTTATTTATACAATTTGCACAACGTTTCGAACCTCCATGGTTCATTCTCAAGTGAAAAGAATTTTCAGGACTGGTTGATTTTATACTCGCACTGGGTCAGGTGATAAGACAATAAAGGTGAAAACATGGGGGGATACATAAGGGATAAATGGGGGGTGAAACATAAGAACATAAGAATAGAGGTAACTGGGGAAGGCCTATTGGCCCATACGAGGCAGCTCCTATCTACATACAAAGATAGTGTAATTGGCCTGTTATGTTGAACAGTGTCTTCTGTGTTGGCATCGTTATTGCGGAATTTAGAGATAACACCATCAATAGTGTCCAAGTAATGTGTAAGTACTTCATTCATAATGATGTGCTGCCCGAAATTTTAGCGAAGTATCCAAAATTTGCTTACTGTAGGTAATGCATGCACATGACTGTAAAGCTGCCGCCCAGTTGGGTGGGTGTGCAGCAAGATTAGTATCTGTGTGACTCACTATAGATGTAAAGTGCCTTGTATAGTGACTGTTGTGAGCCTCTTGTAATGTCACTAGTGACACCTCTTTGTGTCACTTGTAACACCTCTTTGTGTCATTTGTGACACAAAGATTATTGATGTGTGTATTTGTGTGGGTGATTAGATATGTATGTGTATGTATATGTGTATACGTATATATATATGTACATGTATGTATGAGGGTGTGTACATGTGTATACAACATTGATAATTTTGTAACTAGCGTCAAATATTGTTATTTGCTTAGCTAAACGAACTAGAGGATTCAGTTCCTGAACCGATTATGTGCCTCTGTAATCCTTTACACCACCGCCCACGGGATGGGTATGGGGTGCATAATAAAGAAAGAAATTGAATCGTTATGTTCTGGTCTTGTCCTTACTCTCATGGTGGGTAGAGTTAATAGTTCCGTGATTTGGGTGTTCATGGTAGGTTGTTCTATTCTTATGTGAATTGCTTCAAGAATTTATAATCTTCTTGCATCTTGGGTTTTGTCTATTATACAGGTTATATTATATAGGTATATACAGGTTTTTATTATTATATTATACAGGTTTTGTCTATTATACCTGTATAATAGACAAAACCCAAGATGCAAGATTACAAATTCTTGAAGCAATTCACATAAGAATAGAACAACCTACCATGAACACCCAAATCACGGACATCGTGTAGTGTACTTTATGTATTAAAATATATTACTTTGAAACCCATTCACTAAAAAATATTGGGCTACTCTTATTACATATTCGCTACTTTTTGGTCGTCAGCTCGCTACTTTCCGCAATTTGGATCTGGCAACTCTGGGCAGCAGCGTTCATTCGTCGTCTCCCTGTCACACAAGCATCGTCGTCGCCCCTACATCAACACAACAACTTCCACACAAGCTGCTTGTATAATAGAGAAGAAGAGGAGTTTCCACTGATCCCTCTCGAGGACATTTGTCCCAGAACCCATAACATTCCCGCAGGTCAGTAGTTTCTTAGGAAGACTGTATCCTCGCATCTCTGCGGGTTCAAACGGAGTAAGATCAAATAAATTAAATTAAATTTTGCCCCGAGGGGGGCGAGTTTATTGGGCAGCGCCACTCATCCTGTGAGTGAACATACCGCCATAGCAGAATGTACAACACTCCCCAATAGGAAGAAAACCCGCTGGGTTGTTCATCCTGTCAAATAGTACACTGGCGTCTCGACAAAGTTCGTTTTCTGATTGTCAAAATCGCAACATATTATTAGGTTAGGATGTATTATGTTACAATCACATCGTTAGGTTAAGATGTATTAGCCAGCCACTTGGGCTGGACGGTAGAGTGACGGTCTTGCATCATGCAGGTCGGCGTTCAATCCCCGACCGTCTAAGTGGTTGGGCACCATTTCTTTTCCCCCGTCCCATTCCTAATCCTTATCCTGATCCTTTTCAAGTGCTATATTGTTGTAATGGCTTGACACTTTTCCCTGATAGTTCCCATTCCCTAGCTTAGGCTAGGCGCTGTTCATTTACATTAGGTAGGGGTAAGGTTAGAAAGGTTTTAAGATTCTTTGGTTAACTGTCTTTGATACATTCAGTATTCAGACAGTAGGATCCAAAACCTGTGTCTTCATTAAAATTATGATGTTGCACACTTTGTGCACACCAAACGTAAAACACATTTTTATTTCTTGTTTATGTTAGGCTCAGATTGGTTTGTTAATAGTTCCGTGATTTGATTACAAATTTGTAATACCTGTATAGACAGACCAGACGTGTCTCGGGTCCTTGTTTGGGTCTTGTGTGGAATACTATTTTCTATCATTTCAAACGGATGATTTTTTTAATGAGTTGCAGTACTCATCAATCTCCTGTCAGTCCACCAATTAATGTTTTCATATTTTGAGGACAGCCCACCTCCCATAGTAACTCCATAATCTATCCTCCATGAATAACTCCTCAATCCATCATAATCTGCTTTAAACAAATTGGGAACTCTATGATGTTTTATGCAACTTATCTATGCAATATTAAAGCTTTCATATTGTTGAAGTTTGGTGGTCTGCAAAACTTTTATGTTATCAATATTTTAATTAGTTCACTGCAAATTATTTTTGTATGTTGCTCAATTTTTATTCCTTGCTTAACACTATACTGTATTTCAAGTTTTCTATAACATACAATTATTGTTGACCAGACCACACACTAGAAAGTGAAGGGACGACGACGTTTCAGTCCGTCCTGGATCATTCTCAAGTCGATGACCTGGTCAACATACTTCAGCCACGTTATTGTGACTCATCGCCTGCATGCTATTTTCTCTCATTCTTATCTTGGCTATTAGCATGAAACCATTTATTTGTATCTCTTAATTTGGTATTCTACTGAAATTAACTTGTTTTCTACATTCATCTATATTTCTGCAATTGCAATATAATTAAGTACACTTAATTCATATATATATCTACTAATAATCTTACCACTTACTTATTCATGCCTGTGCCACCTCTGGGGTGGCTTGATCTTTATCATCAATCTACTAATAATCTTGCTTTTGTGTAGCAAGATTATTACCTGTATATTTTTAGGATATTATGTTTATACCTGTGCCCTTTTTTTTGTCACATTCATCTTGAGAATGTTTCTTAAGATCCCCCTGAAAGTGTCTTATTTTTACCTAAACATTTTCCTCTTTCCCAGTTACTGCAGTTTACAATTGTTTATTACCCTTCATCTTCAAATATATGCCATACCTCTATCTTCTAACAGTTTAAATCTCAACATAACCTACCAACAGGAGCTTCTAATGATGAAGGCAAAAACCACTTACCTCGACACACATTAGTGTTTAGCATCAGTTGCATGCATTTCTATCTGTTTATATAATTTTTTCCAATATTTGTCTTGACTGTTGGCAATTTACACCAATATTCCTAAGACAGCCATTTACTTTCAATTCCCCTTCTTGAAAGAATGCTACATGTGATTGGAATCCCTCCCTTGCCACTGACTAAATTAATGGTTGTCCAATACTGTACTTTTGAATTTATGCCTCACTCCTAACTTTATTGATATAATTTTACCTGGCATTATAACAAATAATGAGTTTGTTCCCATTATCAAAAATAACATTATCCAACTGCAAACAATGTTCCTAGTTCCAACTCTTGGATAGCAAACTCTTAACCTATTTTTCTTATTCTTGGTACAGAAAGCCCAATCTGGTGAGTCCCATCAAGATTATCTTATTTTGTGTTGGCTTCTTTTCTTGCCTTACCTTTTACCTCTTCTGTGCAGAGAGTTTATAATATGCTACATTTTTCTGTTGGTTATTAATTCTGTCGGCATTTGACATAAAGACATAGTTGAAAAAAATACACTTGCAGGAAACCACATGCGCAACATAAGATGGCAGACGTGAGAGACATTCTAGAGCTTGACAGGCCACCCACTCCAGAGGTGAGCAAAGAGGTCATCCTTGGCCTGCGCAAGGATGTGCCCAAAAAGAAGAAGGAGAAGGAGGTGATGCGACGGCCTGAAGGAATGCACAGGGAGCTATATGCCTTGCTTTACTCTGATTCAAATAAAGATCTGCCTCCCTTATTGCCAACTGATAGCGGTGAGTAACATACATTAATACAGTACTATATGTTGTTTGTCATTGAGTAACTGTGGTGACTGTAGCTGTATAATTTAAATAAATATTTGATTACTTTCAATTCATGATGGCAGAAATTCTCTTGCTTGAACTCTTGTGCTATAAATTCTAATACATTTGGTATGCTTTTAGGTATTTACTCAAAATACAAGGTACTGTATTGGTATAGGATTTGCTGGTACCATTACCGGTTGTCAAAATAATGCTGTAAAAGAAGACATTCCTCGAGTGGAATACTCTAGCCTAGTAACTTTTCAAATGTTCATATCCTGAAGTCTAGGGACTCCAGGGATGAGAAAGATATTATATACCGTAAAGAATCTATCGCCAAGAAAATCCATGTTGGAATTGCCACCTCTCCTGACCCAGTTGTACTAGCTAGTGCAATTATCTAGTGGTGGTCTTTGTAGCAATAGTTGCTAGTTATATTGTTTCAGAATAATTGGCATCTTAACAGTCCCAGTGATCGTTCAGAAGGAAAGTTGAGTAGTTTGATATGTTGTTTTGTATTCAAGTAAGTGATTTATCTCAGTGGTGGCCATCACTAGAGAACAAAGACCATTTGGAAAGATTCTTGTCTCAATGGGGATCAGAGAGACACAGGTACTGTTGTGTAAGTCGAGACCCGAGGGATCTCATGTCCCTGACTCAGGGAAGCAATTGAGGTGCTACTCCAAAAGGAGTATTTCATATTTCCCTTGACATTACTGTATTATTTTTTGGGCAAATCATCACACAATTTTATTACAGTATTATTTAAGACAAGAATATCATATTCTGGAGCTCACCCCTTCCTCCTACCCTCCTCCCGCCCCACTCCTTCCCTCCTCCCACCCCACTCCCTCCCTCCTCCCACCCCACTCCCTCCCTACCCCCCACCCCACTCCCTCCCTCCACCAACATTCAGATGCAGTCATTAGGGAATAAAATAGATAGGTACAATATATAGTTAACAAAAACTTTGTGTATTATTAATAGATGCTCATTTACAGGTCAAGGCTATAAGAGTGTCAAAGCTAAGCTTGGCATGAAGCGGGTTCGACCCTGGAAATGGATGCCATTCACCAACCCTGCTCGGAAAGATAATGCCGTCCTGTACCACTGGCGCCGTGTGTGCGATCAGGGCAAGGACTATCCATTTGCTATGTTCAACAAGGTTACTTTTTCTAGTACAGTAAATGTTAATTTATGATGTGTATGTGAGAGTGACCCACACAATGGATGTTTGCAACACTTTTAAAACATATCTTCCTCCTTGCCTCCCTGATCCTTCTTTCCCCCCTCTGTGTCTCTATCCATCAATTTCATTTCTCTTTCATTCCTACCTTTGCTGTGTTTCTGTGCCTGATTTTCTCCATTTCCTATATTGTATTTGTAAATACATGTACTGTATTTAATTACTCTTGAGGTATTTTTTTGTTTTTCCATGCATGCAAAAAGTTTTGCACACTACTTACATGTTTTGTAGCTCAATATTTTGTAGGTTTCCTTTCCTCAAGCATTCAATTTCTTAGCTGCTACACATCTTGTGTTAACTGCCAGTGTTTGATTAATCCTTACACTGCCATAAACAAAACATTTGCTTTTAAATTTAATTTTCTTTATACTACCATGAATGACAGTAATACATAGTTTGATTTTTTCTTGGCACCAGTTTCTGAGCCAAGGCTTCTCAGTGGCTTCAAGCTAGTGGCCTATGTGAGGCCACACATGCACATTCCACTGACCAGTCTCTAATGATTTCCTCTACCACCATGACTAGTAACGTTACAAATAATCTGATCGTGTACTGTAGTTGTAAATGGGAAACAGTGGCAAATCTAACCTCAAGTCACCACCTGAGAAACAAACTCGCTATGATACAAAAGAACGAACATTAAACTATTACAAAATTATTCCTTGTAGCAGTGGGGGATAAGTTTGTTGAGAGCTTGATGAGGATACAGTAGCTGCAGTGATGAGTGATTTAAAGTGGACCAGCATTGTCTGTATGCAGGTCTGCACCACCTGAATGCAAATACTGTAACAAGAGGCTACCTGGAGTTGACTAACCACTGCTATCACCCAGACATTGTAAGACCTGTTAATTTCAAATGGGCATAACCAACTGATTGGCTTTAAGCTAGCACCAGGACCAGTGGAGACTGCTACCAGAGTGTTGTAGGAGGCCAACTTGCAAAAGGACATAGGATTAGGTAAAAAGTTAATGTATCTGCTAGAAGGAGATGATAAATTGCAGGCTGGGGCTCTAACAATGACTGCAGTAGAGGAGGTGATGCAGGAAGGGGAGAGAAACTTACATGCATTATGCTTTTGGTGTCAGACACTCATTCCATAACACACGATAGCCATGGGAGCGCCTTATTGTGTACCACTACAATTGATTGCTCTTAACAGAATATCTTGTTTTAGTCTTCATCTGTCTCCTTAGACATATCTCAGTTTATTTGTTCACAGCTATTTCTCTCTAATCACCTCACTTCATGGTACATTTACTATATTGGGATCTGATTGATAGTCACGTTGTTCACGTTTATTAACAATTTGTAATGTTTGAATTTTAGATAATCCTAACTGTTGTAATTAACCTCATTTTGTTTAATTTGTTGTCATTTCATGTACATTGACAAGTCTCTTGTGCTTCCTTACTTTACTTATCTGAACCTTTTATTTCACTCTACAAGCCTGTACTAAAATTTTACTTATGCAAGTTTAGTACATTTCACCTATGTGCTAGAGCCTTTATTCTGTTAATCTAAGCCTATTTTAATCTGTAGACTTTTCATGTCTCTGTCTTTCAGAAAGTGGAGTTGTTGACGTATTCCGATGCAGAGTACAGTGAACACTTATTGTGTGATGGCTGGACCAGGTCAGAGACAGATACTTTGTTTGAACTATGTCATCGATTTGACTTGCGATGGCCTGTCATCCACGACCGCTGGCCATCGCATCTCACCTCTCGTACAATGGAGGATCTTAAGGAGCGCTACTACAATGTTACTAACATACTCAAAAAGGTAACTTGATTCTATTGTGCTCACAGATGCTTTAAATGCAAATTAAGCATATTTTCTTGTATTATCAGAACAATACATACATGAGAATTATTAAGGGCTTGGTTGTGTGAGTGAGTTTCAGCTTTTACTTACAATTGCAGCTCAATAACTTGTCAGGACCCGAGGGAAAGATTGTCAATTACGATGCTGACCACGAACGGAGACGTAAACAGCAGCTCCTTAAACTCTGGGATAGAACTCCAAAACAGGTAACAATCAGTACTGTACGTTCAGTTGTATTGAAAGTGAGACTTGGCTTTTTGAGACCACTTTTGGAAAACAAATGAAAACAGGTCTTTGTATACACAGAGAAAGAATATTTACAAAGTGTTTTGAGGGATTTTCCTTAAAATTAACAGTTAAAATAGCTGTGAAATTAGTGTGGCTTTGCTGCTAGCCATTCATTTTTTGTTCACAATAGTAATGAGCCATTAGTTGATTGTTATTGATCTTGGTTTCTGGGCTGCCAGTTGTGCACTGGCAGCCATTGATTAATATTTATATAAATAAGACTTCAGTGGCTTCTTAAACAATTCACACATATTTATTTTCTGTAATGTAAATGTGAAACAGTAGCTAAATTTCAGAGAGTGCACTTTGTTACTGTAGTTCATTATTATGTTAGGATGAAAAACTTCTTAATGAAATTGAAATAAGTTTATTGAGGTAAAATACACACAAAGGGATGAGGTAGCTCAAGCTATTCTCACCCCGTTCAGTACAATGTGTTCATACATATATAGACACATCACAAACAATAAACATATTACCTCTTAATGCCTTAATGCTTCAGTGATAAGTAATGATCCTTCTACTGCAACACAGATTGAAGAGGAGCAGCAGCTGGTGAGTGAACTGCGTAAGATTGAAGCTCGTAAAAAGGAAAGGGAGAAGAAGACGCAGGACCTCCAGAAACTGATTAGTGCTGATGCTGATGCTCGCAAGATCCCCAAGACAACTAAGAAGAAGATACAGCAGACGAAAATCACAAAATTAGATACAATGGTGAGGGGCATACATAATGCTGAGGGGGGACATGTATAATTGTGTAGAGGCATGTATAATTGTGAGAGGGGGCATATACAATGGTGAAGGGGCATAAGTAATTGTGAGAGGGTATAGCTTAGACTAAGGGAGTTTATTTTTACAGAAAGAATTACTGTACATTCATATGGATACATTCTTTATAACCTGTTTCAAACTCATGGGATTGGGTCAGAGAAGACCATATGTAAAGCATTTGGGCAAATTATTAAAATAGTTCCCATGCATGACAGCATCAATAGATGTCTCGGGGCCAGATGGTAATGTGGTTGAATAATTAGTATTGTGTTATATTAAATATGGTATGTATAACATATAATCATCATTACTAATGGCTTTTCTTTTTTCTGTTAGCCTCCAAGCCTAGAGAGCTGCACAGGAATTAAATTCCCTGATGTGAAGTCTTCAGGAGTCAGTTTAAGGTCACAACGCATGAAACTTCCTGCAAGTGTCGGACAGAAGAAAGTTAAAGCCATTGAGCAACTTCTGACCGAATTGAATTTAGGTGAGCAGTCTGTGTATCTAGGTGCAATTTTGGGTTCCCCTGACTAGATGGAATAAGACGGTTAATTTAACTGTAAGAGAAGATGTTTTTAAGAGTACCAGATTTGTTGTAAAGATTATGAGGGCTCAAAAAGTTACCCAGGGAGAGTAGATTGGTCAGACGTAAACATGGGAGGTGAGCCATCCTTGCGATGTGACATGCTGTCACCGCTGACCTGTCAGTGGATTATGATAAAGATGAGAATATAAAAACAATTTAATTGATGTCTAGGGATTTAATTAATGTAACAAATAAATTAATTAGGTAGTACAGTATAACAAAAATGGATAACCATGGAATTTTAATCTTATCAGAAAAAAGGTACAGGGTATATACAAAAAAATTAATAATGGAGGAAGCTTATTACAACAATTTATCAAACTAACAAGAAGTTTTATCGAAGGAATAAGAAAAGCAGAAAGAAATTACAAGGTACAGTATATAAAGCAGGGCAGACAAAGTCAAATACTAAAGGTTCTTCCAGATATATCAGACATTGATTAGAGATGTCTGATCCATTTAAAAAAACACAGGTTAAGTAACTAATAACTAGAAAGAACTGGGTGGTATTCTGATTAAGTTCTTTGTCTCTCTGTTTACTAGAGAACAACTTGATATTTTAATGGTAATTGAGCAAGTCTCTGTAGGTTATGAAGAGAAACAAGTTGAATACAATAGTTTAGTTGTTACCAGGGAGGAAGTTATTAAGGAAATATACAAATTAAAGCTCTAGACCCATGATGAAGTATTTGCTAGGGTCCTGAAGGATTGTGGAGATGAGCTTGGTAAGCCTTTGACCTATATACTATAGTAAGTTTTGGAGAAGCTGTATATGTAATAGAATATATCTTTTACATTGTTATTAATGTATACCAACTATGTTAACAGAGACCAATCCCATGGCTGTTGAGGAAGTGTGTCAACACTTTAATGACCTGCGCTCAGACCTGGTGCTCATGTATGACCTTCGCACCATTTTGCTCAACTATGTGTTTGAGTTGCAGACTCTCAAACACCAGTGTGAAAGTTTAATGCCAGATAAGGTAAGATAAATTCATAATTTATTGATATATCTGGAAACTGGAAGACTTCATCCAATATGATATTTATATCAGTTGTTATATGGAGCACTAATTCGGTATTCACTCCCTACAATTACTCTGCCAGGTTTTGGAAATTCCCGAGTCACTGACTATCAACACAGGTGAGGAGTCCCCAAGTCGTCCACGGGCCATTTCCGAGATGATTGATGCTGTAGCAACTCCTAACACACCTAATGTAAGTTGGATATGCTTGTCACTAGTTGTAGACAAATGGTGATCTATGCCAGCACTTTTGGATACATCGTGACATGAAAGATTGGTGTAATGTGTATTTCACCAAAATATCTTGGAGAGCTTTGAGATGAGTGTTTTACAATTTATTAACTATTAGGCTGAGGTCAGGGATTTAATGTTAGGGTCAAACAACATTAATTCTCAAGAGGTCTCTAGTGGCATTTTCAAACCTGAATTGTTTTTGGATATCTTAAATTAATATACAAATAGTTTCCTTAGAGCATATAGTTAAGAAATGACAGAGTTCCCAATGCAGTAAGCAGTATTTTATCTATATGCACCATATTTTTCAGCCTTTATTAAAATAAACCAATGATGTCTCTTGTAGTATATGCAAGTTTACATTTGGTAAGAAAAGGGGCTACAATGTCTAAATTGTCAAAAAGAGTGATTCTCTTGAATTTTACAAGAAAGATAATAATTTTAACTTTATATTTATGTTGATTTTTAAGGTTTTCATAATTCTTTTTATTGTTGCAGAGGAAACGGAAAGCAGCCCTGGAGCAGAGCAATGTTCTGAAAAAGATAAAAGCACGGACCTAGTACTTGTGTTAGTTTTAAAGATATATTGTAAATTTATTTGCATAGCAGTTTATCATTATTTTTGTGCTATAGGAATAAAATCTAGACAAAAGAATTAGGTATCCCATGTTTTCACAGATGATTTATTTTCTTTCAATGGTTTCCACACAATATCTTGAGAACATCTCTGCGTATTTACATCTTAGCATTTATGTATGCTGATACAAGGAAGGTTTCTCTTAAAGTTGGGCAGTGTAACCCCTGGTGGCCAATTTTAAAACACATTAATCATTCATCAGTGGGATAGGGTTATGATCTTGGGTGATATCTTGACAACAGATAGGCAAAAGTTCCATGCAGATGCTCAAAATTTTTCCGATGACAGAAATACTCTGCTGCTATCAAAAAATGATTTCAATACTCTAAATTAATGTTCGGTGAAGTGTTGCACCTAGAGCTCCATTTTGTTTATTTAAGTAATGTATCTGAAGAGCAGGCTAAGAAAATTGTTAAAGATTTTTAGTGTTTTATTGCAAGAACTGTGCCATATTATGTAGTATGAAAGTTTCATCTAAAATTCACATGATAGCCTGACAAATAGTAGATACACTGGAACCTCGAATAACGACTTTAATCCGTTTTGGCGCTGTGGTCGTCATGTGAAACTGACGTCATTCAAAATGAAGTTTCCAATTGAAAAGAATGTAAATAGAAATAATCTGTTCTACCACTGAAAAGCATCAATATGATATTCGATGTTTTAAATAATGGAGCAGCCTACCTTACATACACCGAACAAACTTTTATGACATTTTTCTTTCTTCAAATTTGTTCATTTTTTTCATTTTTTGTATAACAAAAGGTTCGTTCAGTGTTTGTTAGGTAGGCTGCTCCATCTTTCTTTCTTAAAAAAAAAAAAATTGGAAAACAGATCAAGTGTCAAAAAGGTTCGTTCATTGTTCGGCAGTTAGGCTGTTACATTTTTCTTAAATAAAAAAATGAAAGAAAAAATAAAACAGTTGAAACAATTTGAAAAACGGACAAATGCCATAAGGGTTCGTTCAGTGTTTGTCGGGTAGGCTGCTCCATTATGACAATCTTTGTGTTTCAAATGTGTTCCATTTGTTTTGTATTTTCATTTATTTCTCAATAATGAAGCAGCCTACCCGACAAACACTGACCAAACCTGTATGGCATTTGTCCGTTTTTCAAATTGTTTCAACTGTTTTATTTTTTCTTTCATTTTTTTATTTAAGAAAAATGTAACAGCCTAACTGCCGAACAATGAACGAACCTTTTTGATGTTTGTTCCGTTTTTCAAAATTCTTCATTTTTTTTTTTTTATTAATAATTTTTTTTAAGAAACATAGAGCAGCCTACCTGACAAACACCAAATGAACCATTTTGACATTTGTTCTTTCTTTTAAAAAAAATAATTTTGTTTTTCTACAAAAAAAGTCAATGCTTTGCAACATCCCCGCATCAATAGCATCAATAAAAATAATGTATTTGCATCGTCGGAGGCGTCTGAGAATGTGCGAGAAGCAGCCCGCGACCCCACCATGTGGTGTTGACGTTATTCAAACAAGCGGTTGCCTAATGAGACGAATTGTCAGCGATTGGGGTGTTCGTTACCCAAATTGGTCGCCATTTGAGGTGGTCGTCACTCGAGGTTCTACTGTATAACATTTTACATATTATTGGGCAGTTTTTCAGTACATCTCAGAATTTCTAACAAATTATGCATTTAGTCTACTTTTGTATACTGTACTTTAACATATATATTTTCAGCCTTCTGTTCATTTGGTTAAATTTTATATAAATACTATAATTATATAGATATAGTATACATATGTACTGTACATTACTAACTAAATTACAGTATACATACTTCAAAAAAAATTATGTATTTGCCTTTGAATAAAGGCATCTACTGTGTAGATTTTCAGCATTGTATCCATTGTAGCCCTTTAAGCTGTCAAGGGGTCTGACAGCCGAGTGGACAGCGCTCGGGATTCGTAGTCCTGAGGTTCCGGGGTTCGATCCCCCGGTGGAGGCGGAAACAAATGGGCAGTTTCTTTCACCCTGATACACCTGTTCACCTTGCAGTAAATGGGTACCTGGTAGTTAGACAGCTGCTATGGGCTGCTTCCTGGAGGTGTGTAACAAAAAGGAGGCCTGGTCAAGGACGGGGGCGCTAAGCCCCGAAATCATTTCAAGATAATCTCAAGATAACCATCATGTAATTTATTCAAATATTTGTACAAGATTTTGATACTGTTATGTAGCCTTTCTTGAAGATTTGTCAAAGTTGTTTTAAGTAATTACTTGAAAATATGTATGGCATAGTGTAATTTTCATTTTTGTACATATCATTGTAGTTTTTACAATTATTTAATTTTGATAGCAAGATTTTTGGCTCTGCATAAGTTAGCAGGAAGTGTTGTATCAGTCGGGTTGTTGTGGTGGATGTGTGAGCCACTGTAAGCTCCAGCCTGTTGGAACATGTCGCCTAACACCCTTACCCCAAGGCCAGGCTTGGAATGTACTAGAATTCTTGAAACCAACTACAGGTAAACTACAGGTTTAGTTGGCTAATCTCATCAGTTAGCTGCCATCTCTTACCTTCCCCCCCCCCCCTACTCTCTCACACACTACCTATCATGGCACACCACATGCCCTCATTACCAGTTTACTTACCACAAGCACAGTCATTAACACAGGTCACCATTACCATTACTAAAACAAACATGACTACCACCATTACCATCATTTCCATCATCATTATTACTGCCACTAACTACTATTATCTCTATAAACACCACTCTTATGCAGGCGAGGAGTCACAATATCGTGGCTGAAGAATGTTGACCAAACCACACACTAGAAAGTGAAGACACTACAACGTTTCGGTCCGAAACGTCATCGTCCCTTCATCTTCTTTTGTGTGGTCTGGTCACCACTCTTATCACCATCATTGCCATTACCATCACCACCACAATTGGTTAGTGCTAATTATGCTAAATGAAACTCGTTATAATTCCTCTATTGTAAATATATTTTGTGTAGTCTTACCAGTACAGCAACCACGCACCCACTGTACTAAATACACCAATCTTGACCCCAGAGAAGTTTCTCTCCGGAGGAACCTCTCTTGACCAGCTACACTCAAAACACATCTACATAGTTATATTTTATATAAATCATTATTAATTTATTTGATGTTTATAGTATTTGGAATCAATGTTTTTACTGTACTTTAAGAATTGTTCCCCCCTCCCCGCTCAGCTCGTTGTCGCCGTGTGGGGGCTTAGTGGGCGGCTGCCGGAGTGTGATGCTCCTTGGGACAGTCCTCTGTCCTTTTCTAGCCTTGTGCTCCTGCTGCCGTCCTCTCCAATTCTGCTGGGCATCTTTTCCTTTTCCTTCTGTTTCGTTTTTCTCCCCCCTCTTCTCCTATCTGCTTGCCGTTTCCTACCGACCTTTTGCTCGTTCTGGTTCTTCCCTTGGACTTCTTCTATTTTGACGCCCGGGTGCTTGAGGAGGCATACTCATGCACCCGTAGAACTGCAGTACCCGACGTCGAGAGCGAGGGGAACCTTTTATTGTCAATCCCCACTTCGTCACTGAACCCGATCTCGACGGACTGTCGGTTTCTTAAGGTGGCGTTTGTGGGGCGTATACTCGCGACGCACCCCTAGGAGGCCCCGACGAGATCGGCGATAGCTTCTTGTTGGGTGTCCTGCCTCTAATTGTGGCTCCATGGTGGGTGTGGGGGCACATTCGTGAGTGAATTCTTTCTTTCGTCAAGATGATTACCCCTGCTTCGGCTTCTTCTGGTTTACCTTCTCAGGCTCGTGGGGTGGGCGACCAAGCCCCCGAGTCGGTCCGTATTGGAAGACCGGGCTCTGTAGCCTCCGCTGCATTGGGCCCCGACCTTGCTCCTCCTTTGGCCTCTCTGACTCCTTCCTCTGGCTCCCCTCCCTCCTCTGTGGTTGGGTCGAGCCCCAAGCCCCCAGTGGTGACTACCTCGTCCCCTGGCGCGGCTCCTTCTCTAGTTGTAACTACTGCGCCTTTTAACCCCTCTCTGGGGGTTCTCACCGCCGTCCTCGTCACGGCCGCCCTCGCTCGATTCCTTCCAGTTCTGCTACCTATCAAGCCTTGTTTGGTCCCGCTTCGTGGGCCAAATATTTTGATCTCCTCCCTCTTGATTCTGCGCCTCCTGACGATTTCTCCCTCCATCGACATCTCATTGATTCCGTGGATGCCTCCATTACTTTCAACCCCACTCGTCTCGGTACACGTGTCGTTGCTGCTCCTTCTCAGGATGCTGCTTCCCGCTTGGCTGCCTTATCCTGCCTTGGCGAGACCCCCGTTCGGGTCTCGAAGAACGTTCAGTTGAATGCCAGTGTTGGCACTATTTTGCTCCCGCCCCATGTTGCGACCGGTGTTCGGGACCTGCGCGACTGCCACGACGATATTCGACATATCCTCGCTGCCCAGGGCCACTCTATTCTCCAGGTGGACACGTTTACTCGTCCCCCTCGTGGTAGTTGCCGTCAACCACTCCGGGTTGTGAAGATTACCTTTGATGGTAGGACCCTTCCACCCTCTGTCATTCTTGCTGGTGCCAGGTGCTCTGTCCAGGAGTACATTCCTTCTCCTCGGCTCTGCAACAAGTGCTGGAGGTTTGGGCATGGTGCCCTCCGCTGCTCCGGGACTGTCTCTCTCTGTCCTTTGTGTGGTGGCGAAGGTCACTCTAAGTCGGAGTGCGCTTCTCCCCAGGCTCGTTGCCTCAACTGCGGTGAGGCCCATCCTACCTTCTCCCGTGCGTGTGTCCATTACAAGCTTGAGGCAGCCGTCCTCAACTTGAAGCACCGGGAGCGTTTATCTTTTCCTGAGGCGAGGCGCCAGGTTCGCCGGCTCCCGCCTTATGCTAATATCTCTTATGCTCGCGTGTTGCGCTCTTCCTCTCCTCGTCCTTCCCGCCTTCCTCAGACTCACAACCGTTTCCGGGCCTTGGACCCTGATGCGCCCACTGCCCCCTCCTCTGTCCCTTTGGGTTCTCTCCCGAAGGATCCTCCTCCTGGTCCTCTGTCTGGGGTTCCCCTTCCTTCTACCCGGTCTGTCGTGTCTTCTGTGTCTTCTTCCTCGTCCCCCTCCGATCCTCCTTCCCATCCTCTTCCTCCATCTATCGGCTCTCCCCGCCGCCTGTCGGTGCGGGCGGATGTCCATCGCTCTCCTAACGGCCGTCGTGTGTGCTCTCGTTCGGCTTCTCCTGTTGAGACACTGGAATCCGTTGCCCGGTACGTAGTTGCTGGGACACCGGTCTCTTTAAGTCAGAAGCGTAAGCCTGGCTCCTCTCCTTCCTCTTCCCCGGCGGGTAAGAAGGCTTCGCTTTCTTCCTCAGCTCCTCCTTCTGGCTCTGTTGCTCCTTCCCCTCCCGTTTCAGTGCTTGCGCCCCCTGTTCCTGCTATGGAGGTTTCTTTGGCCCCTGCTTCCCTTTCGGTTGCTGCTCTTG